TAGGACATCACACAAGCGATAAACACCCGATGACACAAAGTGTAACCATGTGGATGAGGATCGCCGTGAAGAGGTCCCAGAAACCGGGTTGAGACAATTGGCCATATTGATGGCCTGCCTATATTGCGGCCCTTGGCAAAAGCCAGGCTGGGGCTTCAAAAAAATTTTTTTTTCATAAAAAGGACGTAAGGATTATGTATCGGACACTGAGGACTTTGCTATTGCTTCACTGGACATGTATCTGACGGATATTTGGGCCTAAACAAAGGACTAGTGGTGGCAGGGTGGGGTGTACCTCAATGCAGTGTCATCATTGAGGGTTGCCAGAGGATGTACGTATACAGGACTATTCTGTGAGAAACTGCCCACATAAGAAGTTGCTCATCTAAGCTAAGAGCAAACAAATCTCTTGGCTAGTACCCAGTGTGTAAACGGGTGGGGTGGGGCAGGGCCCGTAATAGTGATAAGGACCTATCTTTTTTAACTCAATAATTATTTGATGCGCTTTAATATAATAATTATGTGGGTTTCAGGGCACCACATTTTGGAAGAAGAAGGATAAACCAACTTTCTCTTAACAAATATGACATAACAGCCAAGTAAAATTTTGCAGAAGTCACAAGTATTGGTTTGAAAGATGCAGACATTGAAGCCTCGCTGTAAACCACAACAAAACAGGTCAACAACCTTTTTAATGACAAAAGAAAAAGAAGGAGATGAGGGAGAAGAGGAGGAGAAGGAGAAAAAGAAAAAGATGAAGAAGAAGCAGAACACAACAACAACAGCGACATCTAATAGGGTATGAAATGTTTGATCTTCACATTTGCCAAGTCACAGCATTCGAGGTGAGGTGATCAGTTTTCTTCTCTTGCCTTTCCTCCTGGATAATCCTAGAAATTTATAAAAATGATCTGGTACACATTTTTATGAGGCTTGTATAAGGAAGACAACGAATGGCTACAACAATGGAAGATTAAAGGAATGTACACCCGATAAAAAACGCTTATAACTGTTAATTAAAGAGAACAATCGCCATAATTGTTCATTAAGGAGAAACATCTCCCTAACTGTTTATTAATGAGAAACACCCTCCGTAATTGTTTACCAATGAGCAAAGTCTTCACAACTGTTTGATAATGTGACATTTCATAACTGTTAATTAATGAGAAACACCCACAATAACTGTTTATTCATCATCATCAGTTTCAACATCTGCCGTTAAGTGTCCTGGGGAGGAACAGTTTGCAATATCCTCCATAATTCTCATAAACATAATAACTGTTAAATATTGAGTATAATTTCCATTAACTGTTTATTCATGAGAAACATCCTTATAACTGCTTATTAACTCTTTGAGTCCCAGGGGGTTTAGCATCACAGGCCCAGGGTGTAGTAAATAAAGACATAAAATCGGCGCATCATGCATTCATTGGGCCTCTAGGTAGGAAGCCATGAACGTACGATGCGTTCTTTGGGACTCAAAGAGTTAATGAGAAACATCCCTATAACTGTTTATTAATGAGAAACATTCCTATAACTGTTTATTAATGAGAAACATCCCTATAACTGTTTATTAATGAGAAACATCCCTATAACTGTTTATTAATGAGAAACATGCACTATAACTGTTTATTAATGAGAAACATGCACTATAACTGTTTATTAATGAGAAACATGCACTATAACTGTTTATTAATGAGAAACATGCACTATAACTGTTTATTAATGAGAAACATGCACTATAACTGTTTATTAATGAGAAACATCCCTATAACTGTTTATTAATGAGAAACATCCCTATAACTGTTTATTAATGAGAAACATCCCTATAACTGTTTATTAATGAGAAACATCCCTATAACTGTTTATTAATGAGAAACATCCCTATAACTGTTTATTAATGAGAAACATCCCTATAACTGTTTATTAATGAGAAACATGCCTATAACTGTTTATTAATGAGAAACATCCCTATAACTGTTTATTAATGAGAAACATCCCTATAACTGTTTATTAATGAGAAACATCCCTATAACTGTTTACAGATCAGAACAATCTCCAAACTGTTTATTGACGAGAAGCAACTTAAACATTTTACTGAACCAACTCTATATTTGTTGAATTATGGGTGCAACAACAACAAAAAAAAAACCATAACTGTTTACAGATGTGAAAAACATCCACAACAAATGAAAATCATCTCCTTACCTGTTCAATGAGGAGACACAATTAAAATATTATTAATTAATAATAATAATTTAAAAAAAAGGTTAACTTTTTATTATTAAGAAATGCCTCTAAAAAAAATACAAACAAATGCTCCAACTCTGTGGTCTGAATTCCCCCTATTTTTTTTCTTTATGCCTGCAAGGTGGTCTAATAATCATGTGTGTTATGTTGCCATAGCAAAAGTAAATAACGTAAAGATCCCTTTTTCAAGCCTTTAGGTGTATAGGGCATATAGGGCTAGATATATATTTTTATAGATCAATCGGCACAAGAAGGGTGATGTGGTCAGCATCAACCCGGCCACCTTTACTTCCCGGGACTGCACTCAGTACCCACTCAAGGCTGGGTCAACCTAAGAGTCAAGGTTAATTTTGAAGCGAACCCACAACTTTCCAATCCGCACAATAGCATCTAGTTGCTACACCACGGCACCCCTGGGCCTGCCTCAAAATGATGATCATATTTCCTTGCAGGTGCTTAGCCACAGAATTTTCATAGTTTAACTTGTGCGCTGCTAAGTCCATCCTTCTTTTGTTTTCTGGTAAGGACCTGCCACATGATGATGATGATGATGATACAACCATTGTGTAATGACTCATGAGATTTTTACACAACAAGTGGGATAATTTCATACAACCTCCCCGTGCGGGTTGCAGGGCCCCATTGTTGGGGGGGGGGGGGGGGGGAGGGGGACAAGAACAGACCCACTGCCTGCCCAACAAGCATGTCCTATGAGTCGACTCACAAAGTTGGAGTGCATCTGCTTGAGAGGCAAGGAACCAACAATCTGCATTCAATTAAGTCAGATCTGTTAAACAGATGTGTATGCAACATTCCGATTCTGGAACAAGACTTAAGTCCAGAGGTTGACAAAAACACAACAATTTTCTGCTGGAGTTTACAGCCAGTGAAACAAGAAGAAGATATACAACCACTGTATAACATTGAGAATTATGCTGTAACATAACCATAATATAACATCTCCTAAAATGATATATGAAAACCATTGAATAATTTCTCCAAGCAAAGTAATAACACAACCACTATTTAGTGTTTCTTATGAGACTGTGCTTCAACCATCTAATGTATGATACAGTTATGAAAAGAAGAGAATATACAAAAATGCAATTAGTGAAAGTATGATCCATGTTGACATCATCATCATCATGTGCCCTGCCAACTGGCGTAGGTGCTCATGCATCTCCACAGATCATGATCCCTGGTTGCCTGGAACAGCTCTCTTGATGATATCCCTCCATGCCATCGTTTCAGCCCATCCACCATCATCTCTCCTGGTCTGCCTCTACCCCTCTTTTTAGTTGTCACAATGTTTTCCAATGTCTCTCTTCTCATTATGTGGCCAAAGAACAGTGTGTCTCTTTCTAATTGTTGTACATAGAGATCTACTTTCATTAGCTTCTTTCAAGCAATCCTAGTTAGTTACTCTGGCCATCCAAAGTATTCGTAACATTCGTCTTAAAAACCACATATCTATTGCTTCCAAATTCTTCTTAATTTGTTCACTGACATTATAAGATTCGTTGCCATACAGGAGAATATATTTTATGTAACATTTTAGCATCCTCTTTCTGACATTAAATGAGAGCGACTTATTGCATAAGATATTTTTCTTTTTCTGAAATGCATCTTTCACTTGACCTATTCTGCTTTTAATCTCTGTCACACATTTTCCATCTGATGATAAGATTGTTCCCATGTTGACAGAGTATACAAAATCCAATGAGAGATGAATCCTAATCTATTGACTGGCCACAACAGTTGGCTTTCTGTTCCAGTCAGGGTCCTGTGTGGCTATGAGATGACAGTGTATGATGATGGTGAATAGGGGACTGAGTACTTGGTTGACCGCATAGCGGCTGTATGTTCAATGACCCAATGTGTTGCTTGTCACATTCTTTGATGACACAGCTTTATTGCACAATATATTTTTAGATAACAGACATGTAACAAATTTGCTTTGCATGGTCTCCACGCTTACAGAGCCAAGCAGAAAATCTGTGCGACAAACAACAGCACGAGAGTCTTGGGGCCAGTTGAGTAGACCGGGCAGGCCCGAGCTAGACTCGTGGTCAGTTTGGTTACCAGAAGTCGTAGAAGACAGTTGTATTATTAGAAGATGTAGTTCTTATGTTGTGTGAATGACCAGTGTTTGAATATGTCGCAAGCGATGGAAGTGGGAAAAATAGTTAGAGCATGTTGAATAAATGCAACAGGATAAACTGACTGCATGTACAAGGAAGCTGAGCGGCGTTTGTGTTTTCAGTCCTAGACGTTAGAAATAAATGTTGCAGTAATCATATAAAGCTGAATCATGATAAAGCAGATACTTTGTCAGCCAAGGAACATCGCAACATCCCCGTGTGGGTTCCGGGGCCCCACTGTGAGGAAAAACAAGAACAGACTGACTGCCTCCTCTACAAGAATGTAGTAAGAGCCGACTGATTAGGGACATCCTTCGAAGTCCGAGTGCAAATCACTGATAGGCAAGGACACGACAGGTGTGCATACAGATAAGCCAGATCTGCAAAACAGATGTGCAAGCAACACTCAGGGTCTGGAGCAAGACTGTAAAGTCTAGAGGTAGATGAACAACCAGAACTTTTTGATGGAGTTTACAGCCGGTGGACGTGAAACAGAAGAATGACTATCCCAGTAAATTCCTTTCAGATCATATGTTTGTGCTAGTGAAATATTTTACTGCACCTCACACAAACTAACATAGGGCTTCATCTGGCCAAACACTGCTGTGCCTATTTCTTTGCCTTCTCTACCTGTGATCCTGCGACTGCCAGAACTTTTTCACTAGAACCTGAAAAACCAGAAGATTAATTTATGTAAAACAGATTACAGATTAAAATAATCAGAAAAACTAGTATAAAATAACTTATCATCATCATGTAGCAGGTCTTTTGTAGAACATTGCTCTCTTCATGTTCTGTCTGAAAGAAACTCGGTCTCTCACCAGCTTTTCCACCTCGTGTACTTTCATATTCAAGGATTCACTTATATCCTGCACCCATCTTTGTGTTGAACGACCCCTGCCCCTCTTTCCGGGTATCATGCCTTGTGCTTTTATTTGTCCAATCTGCCATGGCGCTTGATATGACCAAAATATTTCAGCTTCCGAGACAAGATGCTGTTTATTAGCCAATCTTCCTTGATGTTCAGATCTTTTAAGAAGTCAGTATTTTTTCTCTTCTATGTCCATAGTATTCTGAAAATCTTATATAATGCTGAGTAAGTAAAGCACCCTTTTTCATGCCTTTAGATGTATAGGGCATATAGGGCTAGACATTTATTTCATAGACCAACTGACACAAGATGGGTAATGTGGTCAGCATCACCGCCTGCTGTCTTTACTTCCCAGGACCGCACCCGGTACCCACTTAAGGCGGGGTCAACTTGGGAGCAAAGGTCACTTTATAAAACAAAAAGTCCGGCTCTGCCAGGGAGCAAACCTACGACCTTCCGATCTGTGGAGAACGTCTATCCGCTCTGCCACGGCGACTTCCATATTATGCTGGGGCTTACTGGAAAATGTTATTTCGACCTGGCTTTTTAAAAGGTCACTAGGGTCACAAGGAAACCCCTTTGAATGCTATTTTTAGTTAATATGTTCACATCTGGGCCTGCTCACCACTACTCAATCTCACAAAGAGACAATGGCATTAAACTATGCTATCTGAGAACCTTGATCAAAACCCACTGCTGGCTGCGCAGATTTTTATCATGGTATGAGGCGTCGCAGGTCGACCCAGCCTAAAATAGGTAACAGGATGGATGTCCTGGGGAAGTAAAGGTGCCCGGCCTAATGCTGACCACAAAACCCACATAGATGGTCCGCACAAATATGGGCGCTCTTCCCATATACCTAATAAGCCTAAAGACGTGAAAAGGGATCTTTACTTTTACTTTATAACTACTACATATGGTTGGAGGCAGGTAGGGGGAAAAGGGGGGGGGGGGGGGGGGTTAAAAACCTATGCTTACAGTAGAACACAACACTTGCATTACCAATTTCACCAGACACACGTTCAAACTCCCGCAGGCTCCCCGAAGAATTCTGCTGAAGGTAAGCTTCCTCTGTGGCTGTAAGAGGCTCCCCAAGTTTCTTCAAGGCTGTCAGTATCTCCACGGATTGCTGCTCCGCCAGCTGCTTGGGCAACTTCCCAATCTTCTCATCCCGGCTGATCTGTGGTTGGAGAAATATTCATCAAATAAGTATTATCATCTGATCTATCTCATCTGTGCTGCATAGAGTTCAAACTCTGTACCGGTTAAAAACTGTGCTCGTTAACCAAAAGAAACAAATGTGAAATGAACTCATGACTTTCAGTGTTGGAAAAGGCAAAAAAGCTTCACCACTTTGCCACAGAGACCTCCAATAAAGAGAAAGAAAGAGAGAGAAAAGAGAGAGAGAGAGAGAGAGAGAGAGAGAGAGAGAGAGAGAGAGAGAGAGGGGAGAGAGACATAGGGGGAGAGAGAGAGAGAGAGAGAGAGAGAGAGAGAGAGAGAGAGAGAGAGAGAGAGGGGGGGGAGAGAGAGAGAGAGAGAGAGATAGAGAGGGACATACATACAGACACAGACAAAATGAGGCAGAGAGAGACAGAGAGAGAGAGAGAAAGACAGAGAGAGAGACAGACATACATACAAACAGACACAGACAGAAAGAGACAGAGAGAGAGAGACAGACAGACAGAAAAAACAGAGAGAGATAGAAAGAGAGAGAAAATTATATAACATTTCACAAAGGCACATATAATTACTCAATATTTTACATACAAACACACATTTAAAGTTTTCTCTAACTTATAATTATTCAAAATTTCTCTCTCACACACTCACACATGCACGCGCAAATGCATGCATACACATATGCACACGGGCGCACCCACACACACACACACATGCATAAATGATTTTTTCAACATCACTTTCTTCTTCTCTCTCTCACTCAACAATATACATAAACACACGTACATAGAAAATAGATTAAAAGAATTACTCACGATTTCACTCGCACATACACTATCCAGCAGCTACTTACATCTGCCAGCCTAGTTCGCAGCTGTCCCGGCTGCTTCCTGGCAAAGAGTCGGATAACTTCTGGAGTTTTGAAGGCATCAGTAATAGCTGCCTGAATGGCCTGGAGACAAGAGGTGTATCTTCATTACAGAACATTTTCCTTAGCATTTTGTTCTATAACATGTTCTATAACATACGTTTCTATAACATACGTTTCTATAACATACTTTTCTATAACATACTTTTCTATAACATACTTTCCTATAATTCACTTTTTAAAAACATACTTTACTAATAACATACTTTTCTATAACATAATCATCTATAACAAAATCTTCTATAACATACTTTCCTTTAATATACTTTTCTAAACATACTCTTTCATATAGTATTCCATACTCTTTCTATAATGTTTTATGTGCTATTCCATACACTTTTATATTGATTCATATACTATTCCATACTCTTTCTATTATGTTTCATATGCTAGTCCATACTCTTTCTATACTGTTTCATGTGATATTCCATACTTTTTTTACACTGTTTCATATTCTATTCCAAACTCTTTCTATACAGTTTCATTTACTATTCAATACTCTTTCTATACTGTACCATATACTATTCCATACTCTTTCATACAGTGGCTCCATGATTCAGTGGTCATTCCATTTGTCTCAAAATGTCATGTGTTCCATTTCACGGATGCCTCTTTCAGTTTAACAGCCCAATTTTTTATGAGATCAAAGGGGATTGTCACTGGAGCTATGGAGTTTGTGCTCTGTGAAATGCTCTCTGCAGGCGGCTGGCTGGGCTGCGGAGAGAGGCCAGGCCAAATGAGATAATCCTGTCCAATGAAGTCGATCCTTCTGACTAACTTGTTTTTAAACGATTTTATATTCTTTTCAAGGCTTTTTTCTAGATGAAATGGTGCCGGTACTCACCATAAAGTGTCTTTAAAAGGTTCCGGTACTCACCACAAAGTGCATATTATAATTGTACTGAAAACAATGATGCCTAAAAAATAAGGTGTCGGGAATGCCCAATGTACAAAGATGTCAATTGCGATAACATAACATAGCATAACTTAGCTGAACAGTGCTAAATATAACATAAAATATGACTAGAAAGCTCAATGGAGGGAATAGAAAAAGACAAACACAAATACAACTGAATGTTTTGACTACAGTCTTTATCACAGGAGTGCTAAATACAGCACAAACTGTGACTGGAAAACTCTTTAGACAAGACAACAGAGTTTCGAAAAAAAAAAAAAAAAACTTCAACTAAAAACCAAGAAGTTCACAATGATAGCAAAAATATGAACACAATGGGGGTATAATACGAAACGAAATAAGTAAGAAAGCGTATGTTAAAAAGGGCAAGGGGGGGGGGAGAGGGATATTAATAAGCGAAATGGTCTTCTTCTTCGCATTCACCGGCTGTAAACTCTGGCAGAAAGTTCTGGTTGTTTGTCCACCTCTGGATTTTAGTCTTGTTCCAGAACCTGACTGTTGCATGCACATCTGTTTTACTGAGCTGATTCAACTATGTGCAGGTTACTGGTTCCGTGCCTCTCTGGCAGATGCACTCTGACATCAAAGGAAGCCCCCAATTAGTCAAATCTTGCGAGATGCTTTTTGGGCAGGCAGTGGGTCTATTCTTGTTTTTCCCACAATGGGGCACTTGAACCCACATGTGGAAACCTATATTCACTCTACCAGACCGCTGGCCCGCTATTGTGGGAATTTCCTAACCTGCCGCCAAACCACTGTCCCTCAATGTCGGGAATTTGCATACTATGTAAAAAAAAAATGCGTCACAAACTAAAAATAACTAGCCAATTGTAATCAGATCTCGTGAATAGTCTTCATACACCACCTGTGTTCGGATTAAATTTGTGTTGTTCTACATGAAAAAATTCTGAAAATTCACAATAAAACGAGCGGCTGATGAACCAAGCACTTCGACAGGAAAGTGAAGTAGGTCTAAGCTTTTCACATTCCAACAGGTGATCGATACTTTGGTTGATTTAGACTCTACGAAGTCATAATTTCATGAAGAATACGTTCACAGTTGAAGTGACACAGTCAGTGAGATGTGGAATGATGAGGAAAATCTAGACAGTTATAAATCTAGAAATAGATTGATAGTAGGAAAAGGGGGCGTGTCCCTCAAACAGCAACATCTGGTGTTCACTTTGTAAAACAAGGTTGATCCTGCTGGGTGGTTTAGCAGCACTTAAAAATGGAATATTGGGGCTAGATAAAAGGTTAACCTATTTTCTACAATGTCTCCAAGTTTCATCTCATTCTAGGCACTTGTTTGCATGTAACTAATATTTTTGTATATCATGTTGTTTTTTTCGCGTTAACGCCCAGGACTCAGAAATAGGGGTCAGTTAGGTTCAGGGCCTGGGGGGTCTGGTAGGGTTAAAAAAAAAAAAAAATTTTCATTGGTTGTAATAGCTAATCTCAGAAAGTTCTTTACTGACTGCTTTAAAATTTTCACATAACGTTGCATCTGACTGTGCGGGTGTTTTTATGTAAGAGTGTCGCACAAACCACATACTACATAGCTACAGCAACGATCACATTGGTTTTTGTTTTGTTGCCGGCTAAGAATTTTTTTTTTATTCTGCTGGTGGGCGAATTTTGACTGTTGACCTCAGACCTCTCCACTAAGCTACGTCCAAAGGTCTTCACCGATTACTTTGAAATATCCATATGGTGAAGTTCCACAGCAGAAAGTCTGGGCTCTCTGTAGAGACTACGTGCTACCCATGCATGATGTTTCCTCTCTCTCTGCCTGCTTTGTTAACCTTAGAGGAAATATTTCTTCTTCATGTTCACCAGCTGTAAACTCCAGGGGATATTTCTGGTTGTTCGTCCACCTCTTGACTTTAGTCTTGTTCCAGAACCAGAGTGTTGCATGCACATCCATTTTACAGATCTCACTCTTCTGAATGCAGATTGTTGGTTCCTTGCCTCTCAGGTAGATGCACTCTGAAGTAAGCTCCCTATTAGTCGACTCTTATGACATGATTGGTGGGGCGCAGTGGGTCTATTCTTTTTTTCCCCCATAATGTAGCCCTGCAACCCACACTGGGACCAACAGGAAATGAGGCACCTACAGGTTTGGAATAAGGCATGCTGCAGAAGTTGCCAGATCAGAAAAGCAGTGTTCTATATGTTCACCTGAGGAGCCTCCCTCTCACACCATTTGTCAGAGAAGTCTAAGAATCTGGTCTGCTCTGCCATCATCATGTGCCCTGCCAACTGGCATAGGCGCTCATGCGTCTCCACAGATCACGATCCCTGGTCGCCTGGAACAGCTCTCTTGATGATATCCCTCCATGCCATCGTTTCAGCCCATCCAACATCATCTCTCTTGGTCTGCCTCTACCCCTTTTTTCACTGATCTCTCCAGTTGTCACGATGTTCTCCAATGTCTCTCTTCTCATTATGTGGCCAAGGAACAGTGTTTGTCTCTTTCTTATTGTTGTATATAGAGGTCTACTTCCATTAGCTTCTTTCAAACAATCATTGCTAGTTACTCTGGCCGTCCAAGGTATTCGTAACATTCGTCTCAGAAACCACATCTCTGTTGCTTCCAAATTCTTCCTAATTTGTTCACTGATCTTCCAAGATTCGCTGCCCTACAGCAAGACGGGTTCTATGTAACATTTTAGCATCCTCTTTCTGACGTTAAAAAACATCGACTTAATGCATAAGATATTTTTAGTTTTCTGAAATGTAGCTTTTACCTAACCTGTTTTGCTTTTAATCTCTGTCACACATTTTCCATCTTATGATATGATTGTTCCCAGATATTTCTCTCTCCTAACATTAAGTTTTCAGATTGCATGTCCTCTTCAGAGGATAAGGCTAGTATCTTCCTCAGTAAACTACTTTGCCGAAAGGCACAGTAAGATGTAATCAAATTATGAACTGGAGACACCATACAAACACTTGCAGTGACTGAGAAACAGATTCTTTCACTAAAAGGCTTCAGATGTTGAAAACCCTGAGTAAGAAGAAACATCACATATCCATTACCAGCTGCATGGCATTAAGTTCATCGACCAGGCTCAAGTTGCCTTGTAGCATTCTGTTGAGGTTCTCCTGGAACTCTTTCAGCTGTTCTAGGGTCTCATTCTTTGTTTCATCATATTCCTCTGGATCTAAGTCTGCCCTGAAATACAGACATCGAACTATAAAATTGTATATATATATATATATTATGTTGAAAAATGAAGGGACAGTGTATGTTTAAAAATAAACGAATTTCAAGTTGTCATTGTCTTTAGTTTTTTTTTTTTTTTTTAAATTTTTTTTTTACTTAAACAGCCATTGTGACTTACTTATGACTGACTGACTTTCTACCCCCACCAGGACATCACACAAGCGATAAACACCCGATGACACAAGTTGCCACCACGTGGGTGAGGATCACCGTGGAGAGGTCCCAGAAACCGCGTTCAGCATTTAGGCCATATTTATGGCCGGGCTATATTGCAGCGCCTGGCAAGAGCCAGAGTAGAGCTTCAAATAACAAAAAATTTCATCCTAAAAAGGACGGGAAGTAGATAATACAGTACTGACTTATTGACTTCCCCTCATATATATGTGGGTGTTTGTGTGTATGAGATCAGCTGATTGGTCCGTTACAGAATGTTGGTCATATCACAGGATGCCTGAAAGTCTCTCTTTCTCTAGCCAGTTTTCCAGCCCTATGTGCATCATAGCCAATGAATTTTCAGTGTCTTATATCCACAGGTCTGCCTCTGCAATGTTTTCCATCACTGCTCTCTCCAGGCCACCATTTCAATGCTCTTTCTCTTACTGCAACAAACTTTTTTTTTTTTTTTTAAATTTGAGAGCATCATTTGCTATGATAATTCCTGTTCTAATCTCTACAAGGCATGGTGAATCATATGTTTTGACTGTTTCACGATAGTTTATTGTTATTTTTAGAATTCTCCCATTTTTTTTTTATCTTCTTATCTTCTTCAAGAGTTCCCTGGCTGTAAATTCCAACGGAAAGTTGTGATTATTTGTCCTCTTCTGGACTTTGAATTTGAGCGTTCTGTGCACATCTGTTCTACAGATCTGGCTTATTTGTATGCAGACTGATGGTTTCCTGCCTCTCAGGCTGATGCACTGCGACTTCAAAAGGAACTACACTCATTAGTCGCCTTTTACAACATGCTGGGGGGTAGGGGTGGGGGGTGAAGTGTCTATCTAGGACATCTCACACAATGGTGAGAACTGGGCTTTTGCAGACACAAACAAGAATAGCCACAGGAAAAACTTTTTGAACAAATTCTAATAATTGTGTTACTGCTTCCTACTCTCAACTATTTTCATCTCTGAGCTCAATAACTGACACACACATGCACACAATCACTAACTAACACTCTCCGGACAGTCACACATTCAAAACAATATTTAAATTCTTCTTCTTCTTCTTTATCTACTTCTTCTTTCTTTCACTTGAAATAAATTATCTATGTCTGCAATGATGTCTGTAGTATGAATTTCACTGTATTTTGTAATTAACTTAGCGAGCCGTAAAGTTTGACTTGCACCGGTGTTTCTCTTGGCCAAAAGTTTTGCCTTGATATGTTGTATTTGGGACAGTCTTGGAGGACATGATCTGTTGTCTCAGGTGCCAATCCACAAGTGCACATGGCTGATTCGCAGATTTTAAATTTTGTATTTTCATTTTTAAAAAGATGCCACAAGCGATATATTGCACAATTTATTGCTAGGATGATCAAATGGTTAATCTTAAACTTTCATGTATGAGATGTACAGCAGAACTAAGAGAGAATAATATATCATTTGTGTACCGCAGTTACAAGTATTCCGGTGTTATTATTCATTATATGTTGATGTGGTTTTATTATCGTAGTCAGATAAAAAGAGTAATGATGACATCTTGAAATGACTGACTCACGACAGGAACTGATTGCCCACATCATAAAAGAGGCAATCTACATTCTTTGGTCATGTGATGAGATGGAGAAAACTGGAGTACATTGTGACAGTATGAAAGTTGGAGGGAAGGAGAGGCAGAGGGAGACTGAGAGAAAAGATTCTGGACAGCCTGACATCAGTTGACTGAAAGTACATGAGAGAGAAGGTTGTGGAAATACATGACTACCAATGCCACACGGCATGGAGGATCATCTGTGTCAGAGTTGACTGAAATTACACGAGAGAGAAGGTTGTGGATAGACATGACTACCAATGCCACACGGCATGGACGATCATCTGTGTCAGAGTTGATTGAAAGTAAACGAGAGAGAAGGTTGTGGATAGACAAGACTACAAACACCACACAGCATGGAGGATCATCTGTGTCAAAGTTGACTGGAAGGTCATGACAGAGAAAGTTGTGGATAGACATGACTACCAACGCCACACAGCAAAGACTTTAACCCTACCAGACTGCTGACACCATTTTTCGGGAATTTCTTAACCTAACGCTAAACCGCAGTCACTAATTTTCCACTATTTGCGTAGTACGTAAAAAAGATGTGTCACAGACTAAAAAATCACTAGTCAATCGTAATCAGATCTCATGTATAGTCTTCCTAGATGTCTGCTTGCATGTGTTTGGATTAAATTTGTGTTGTTTTAAGTGAAAAAATTCAGAAAATTCACAATCAAATGAGCGGCTGATGAACCAAGCACTTTAACAGGAAAGTAAAGTACGTCTGGGCTTTTCACAGTTCACCAGGTGATTGATACTTTGGTTTATTCAGACTCTGCGGATAATAATTTCATGAAGAATACTTTCACAGTTGAAGTGACATATTCAGCTCGAATAATGAGGAGAATCTTGAAAATTATAAATCTGGAAATAGATCGATAGTAAGAGAAGTGGGCGTGTCCCTCAAACAGCAACATCTGGTGCTCACTTTGTGAAACAATCTTGATCCTCCTGAGTGGATTGGCACATAAAGGTGGAATGGACTATTGGGGATAGATGAAAGGTAAACCCATTTTCTACAATGACTCCAAGTTTCATCTTATTCTAGCCACTTGTTTGCATGTAACTAATATTTTTGTATATCATGTTGGTTTTTTCGTGTTAATGCCCAGGAGCTCAGGTATAGGGGACAGTTAGGTTCAGGGTCTCAGGTCTGGTAGGGCTAAGAAAAAGAAGTAGACTATGTAGGTCTACTACATAGTAAAATGCAGAGAAATATGTCAAGCAATAAATTGTGCAATATATTGCATTACCTGAGGTCACAACATTCTTTTCTCCATGTGGGTTCCGGGCCCCATTGTGGGGAAAACAAGAACAGACCCACTGCTTGCCTAACACGCATGTTGTAAGAGTCGACTAACTGGAAGCTTTCTTTAAAGTCGGAGTACACCTGTCTGAGAGGCAAGGAACCAAAAGCTGCATGCAAATGAGTCATATCTGAAAAACGAATACACTCGCAGCACTCGGGTTCTGGAAAAAGATAAAAAATCCAGAAGTAGACAAACAATCAGAACTTTCCGTTGGAGTTTACAGCCAGAAAACGCAAAAAAAAAAAAAGAAGACAAATAAATGAGTAAAAGCTGTGAAACAGATGTGCACACAACACTCAGGTTCTGGAACAAGTGTAAAGTCTAGAGGTGGATGAACAACGAAAACTTTCCGCTGGAGTTTACAACTGGTGAACGCCAAGAAGACAAGAAGACAACATCCTTACTTGCATTCCTCCAAGTCTGTCAACTGCTGCATCAATCTGTCTAGTTGCTCTTCCAAGTTCTGCCGCAGCTTGGTTGTTTCTTGGGTACCTCTGGAAGCCATCTTAACTATCTGTCACAGCCGAGTGTTTGCTAGTGGAACAAATTAAATAAAATGGAAATAGCCAAATAATGTAACTTCATAAGAAAGACTATGTTTTCTTTATTAACATAATTTGAATTTGGAGTTACTTGAAATCATTTGGGTATTTTGAACTTTCTGTTGGCATCAGGTGATCACTTACCTCTGTTTTAGAGGATTTTGACTATGCAGATGACATCTACTTATATCAAGCCGTCATGTGGATGCTAAGGTAAAGATTGAAAGACTTTCAACAACAGCCCTTAAGATAAGACTCAAAATAAACACCAACTTATTCTCCTGAATCTCAAACATTACACAATCAGTTCTGTTACTATGTACATCTAGTCACAGAACACTAGAGAAATCTGGCATTCCTAGCTGCCTTTTTGAAACTGTTGTAGTTGTGATTTTTCATAGTGGTTATTTCTCTCTTTAAGCAACTGTTGCAAAATGATCTAGGATTGAAATTGTTAACCAAGTGAACTAAATTTAAAATACACAAAATAACTGTGTCATATAAAGCATTGGTAGCCACCTAAGTGTAGCAGCTAGATTCTCGCCTGTGGATTCAAAGGTCATGGGTTAAAATACGAACAAGCTAGACTCTTTTTTCAGCATGATCTTGGCTCGCAGCTTGACCCAGTATTAAATGGTCACAAATTAAAGACATGGGAAGTAAAGGGGCCAGTATGATGTTGACCACATCACCCATCGAGTGCTGATTAGCTTATAAAACATAGCCCTATAGGTCTTAAATCTTTAAGGCCCAAGCAACACTTAAGTCTTGAAAAGGGTCCTTTATCAAGCATTTGGCATTAGAGCCGGAGTGAAATACTATAAGTTTGGTACTTAAAATTTTATTTATCGTTTCTTTAGATTTGTTAGTTTTATGATAGCTCAAGGAAAGTTGCACTTTTATAAGTTAAAAAAAATGCACACACAGAAAGCATGAATAAAGCAAAATGACGAACGCTGCTAAAAGAGAGCTCAGAGGTGGTGTAGTGTACGATTTCCGAACAGCACCATGAAAGGACTGCAGTGCAATTTCAGTTTGCACAGGATTGAATTGAACTGGGGACTGGACTGCCAGCCTTATAAAATGTGTAAATTGCACAACAGAATATCTATGATAATGATGGTGATTGCAGAGTGGCAAGCATCACTACAAGGTTCAGGGTAGTTAGCATCCTTTGGATATTTTTTCCAGGTAATGCCGGTGTCTTGGGAAATGAGCAGGCAGATAGACTGGTTCTGCACAACTTGGTGGTGAACTGATGTATGACAAATTGGATGTTGTAAGGGCCCTTTGGGAGCGAGTGAACAGTGCCGAAGAACACATAGATCATTGGTCTGAGGAGAATAGCATTGCGAGGATTTACCAGGGGATCTGGCCGGTGCTCGACACTCGGGAGAGGGGCGAGACGAATATACAATCAGAAAGTTACTGCGTACCATCAGAATTTTAACTCTTCGCTTGCTGCTGAAGATAGGGACTTGGCGATTGTGGGGGTATACAGAGTGCTGTGATGTCGAATCCTAATTAAACATTCAACATTAATGGCGATTCCGGTACTTATTTCAAGTATAAAAAACAGTAACAAAGTGTCTCTAATTTCTCCCATTAGTTTGGTCAGTATTGACCCCAAAAAAAAAACATAGTCGACGTGCTCTGACTCCATGCCTGGCGAATCATCAATATCTTTGCACAGATTAAAAAAATCAAAGCATATACTTAACCATTTCGAAGCCCACCAGTAGGATGCAGGTAGAGTTATGATATGAATGTACCAGTGCCTTTCCACTTGTGGAGCAGGGCTCCAGGTAGCAGACGTCAGATTGTTGAAACAAGTGCAGTCATTGGATTGCGAACACGCAGATTAACGAAAATTGCCGAGCAGTAACTAGCAATATTTTTCGTTTATTTACGTTTCTGTGTGTCTTATTAGTTAAAAGGGTGCTTGGATTTCAGAGAGGCCGCATTATATTCCTTACGTCCTTCTTAGGACGTAATTTTTTGTTATTTGAAGCCCCACTCTGGCTTTTGCCAGGGGCCGCGATATAGGCGGGCCGCAATATAGACAGGCCATCAATATGGCCAATTGTCTTAACGCGGTTTCTGGGACCTCTCCACGGTGATCCTCATCCGCATGGTGGCACTTTGTGTCATCGTGTGTTTATCGCTTGTGTGATGTCCTGGTGGGGTAGAAAGTCAGTCAGTCAGAGAGGCTGCGAGATATGCACATTTCGGTCCTAAACATATAATTTCAGCAACCTCTTAAAAAGTAGCCTTTTACGGCCAGCTTCCTATTCTTAATATCGTATCATGTAGAGGTCCTTTGCAGAACGCCACCATCATCACGGTCTGCGTGAAAGACATTCGCCAGCTCTCCCCTCCTTCCTGGTACCATGTCTCCTGCTAACACCCCCCCCCCCCCTAAACCAATCCGCCGTGGCACTTGATAAGGAAAAAATAAGAAGATGTTTGTTAGCTTATCTTCCTGGATGTTTAGATCTTTTGGAATGTGTTTCTGTCCTTATTCTTATAGTAAACAAACTAACCGTAAACAGAAATAGTTGGGATGGGGTTGTAACCACACTCAAAAGGGGGTTGGGGAGGGGGGGGGGTTTCCTCCTTTTTTGACTACATCACCCACAAAGGTAATGACTGTAATGAAGATAATGATAACGACGACGATAAAAGCATATATATTATGGAACACGACAGTGACACAAGCAAATGTGATGTTTGTCGGATACAATTTTTTTTCATTTAGTTAGTGGATTGTAGAGGTCATCACTATCTCAGCGCCCTTCCCTCTCTCCCGCCTTATGTCTCTCACATATCAGATACAATAGTGCAGGTAACCAACTTTTGTAGCTTTCCAATGTAAAGGACCCTTCTTCTTCTTCTTCTTCTTCTTCTTCTTCTTCTTCTTCTTCTTCTTCTTCTTCTTCTTCTTCTTCTTCTTCTTCTTCTTCTTCTTCTTCTTCTTCTTCTTCTTCTTCTTCTTCTTCTTCTTCTTCTTCTTCGTTCGCCTGAAATAAGTTGTCTATATCAGCAATTTTGTCTCTTGCATAAATTTCACTGTCGTTGTTAGTTCATTCAGTGGTTCATAGAGTTTACGTTCCACTGTTGTTCTTTCTGGTCAAAAGGTTTGCCTTAACGTGTCGAATTCGGTGCAGTCCTGGAGTACATGCTTTGCTGTCTGGGGCACCTTTCCACAGGTGCACATGGCTGATACGCCTATCTTAAATTGTGTGTACGTGTGGTTACGTAATCGGAAGATACGTAGGCGGAAGATAATGACGTGTTCTGGTCTGTCCATAATAAAATAGTCGTCTTGTGCTGGGGCTGGTGGTTTCCTGATCGATTTAATGGTACTTTTCTTTTGGTGGTATGTGACTGACACATCGGGCTGCACTTTTGTCGCACCTTCCCTTGCCCCTAAAGGACCCGTTACTACGCATTCAGACGTATTAGGCATATAGGGCAAGACCTATATTTCACAGACCAGTCGGCACTCTGTGGGCGATGTGTTCAACACCACGCCGGTCGCCTTTACTGCCCATGACTTTACCCTAGTACCCACTCAAGGCTGGATCAACTTGGTAGACAAGGTAATTTCGGAAGAAAAACAAAAAAAAGCCGCAACATCACGGCAGCTTCAGCTCTCCCTTGTTTTAGGGGTCAATCATGAGCTGATTTGAGTTGCGTTTTAAGAACTGACATAATAGCGCTGCGAACATACCCATAAGTGCTCCGTCCGCATCTTCAGCAGCCAGAGCTGTGTTCCAACTCCGACTGTATCAGTAATTGTCTTGTCTTTCCTGTTAATGTGGAGTGACGGTCAGATAATTTTTTAGCTTGAGCTGACCATTTTCAAATCCCCTAGTCACTTCCCGTTGCACCATTTTATTCAGACAGTGATAATGTAAGTGTGCCCCTGCACGATTCACTCCTTCCCAAAGAGCCTTAATCATATTTAGCTTACTGTGCATGCTTTTATGAAGTGGTCCAGTGCCAGCCAGCCTGTCTCTCTGTTCGTTTCCCAAAGCACCTGGATTTCTCATTACCTTCGCGTTGGACATAGTAGAGACTGACAAGTACAAACAGTGAATGAAGGAGCCGTCGAACTCTGCCGTGCTCGTATTATGTTGCTGTGTATGTTTTTCGACTCATGCCTAGTTAATATAAATTTATGTAACTGATAGAGCTATTTTAATGGTTTGAGAGGAATTTTGTGCGTATTTCATAGTTATGGTTTTTACACAGTGCGATAGACATGCCAACGAAGATTTTTTTTGGGTGGGGGAGGGGGCGAGGGGGGGGGGGGGAGTGTTTGCCTAGTGTTGGTTGTGCTCTTGGTAAGCTTGTTTCCATAACCAGGTGCACATGCCATTTGGAGGTGACAGGTTCGATTCCCGTCACTTTAGTTTTTATGTTGTCTAGTGTGACCTTCTGTCTTTCTTCTTCTTTCTATGAGTGCCAATCAATACATTGTCTTTTTGTTAATTCTATGTAACATCTCTACAAAGATGAAGTCCGTTGACAGTTTTTATACTTTCATGATACGACACTGAATAAGAGCAGTGAAAAATCAGCACAGGAGCGCCGAAACCTGGTAGTGGGTGGGGGGGGGGTGGAGGGGAGGGCGTTCACTGGCCCACTTTTTTAAGCTTGTCAGCGCCTTTATAACCCCTCAGCTTTTTTTTTTTTTTTTTTGAATTCCTACAAATGTAGCAAGGGTGAACCGTTCACATCCCGGTTTTATCTTTTTCCTTTCTCTTCCCACACCCAAAACATGTAGGCTATTTGTTTTCTTTTTGAGGATTTGCGCAAATGTTTCCCATCAGGTAAAATGTACAAGTAAAGAACCCATTTCCACGACTTTAGACCTATATTTTTATAGACCAATCGGCACAAGATGGGTGATGTGGTCAGCATCACGCCGGCCGCCTTTACTTCCCGGGACTGCACC